CTAGCCCAAGTCTTCTTGTGAATGTCTATTAGGGTCCCTTAAAGGCACCTTGGGGCCAGACTGGTTGGCAAATCTTCTCCTTCCGAAAAGGGCTTGACTCATTTGAAAGCCAGTAAGTACCTTAGGAGGGAAAGTTCCCAATTTATTTATAAAATAGAATGTCTTTCTATATAGGTGACCTGATTTTTGTTTGCTTTGTGAGGCCAGATTTGTTCTAAATGCTTACAGTTTTATGAAGCAGGATAAATGGCTAATATGGAGGAACTTTGTAAAAGGACCCTAGAGAAATTATCAATTCAGTTTTCTAGGACTTGGCAAAGTCTGCATCTTCAACTCTAAGCATAGAATTAGAGTTGTTAGCAAAAAATACTCTATTATGAAGCATAAGACTTCATAACAGAAGAAAAAGAAAATGGAAACTAAAAGTTTGGGTTGTATTCAACACTCTATATCCTCTGTGTGGTTAAATTTTATCCTGTTAAGTGCAAACTACAAATGTCCGTAAGTAGAATACAGGTTAAATACATGTTTATGTAGCACAGCCTTATAACTATGAGAAAGACTTATTATAGTATAGTATTTAAAAGTGCAGTGTGTAGAACACGGTTTGATTATTTTTTTTAATTTTAGAAGTTATTTTATTTTTATTCTTCTTTTTAGTGTGTGTGGTGTTGGGGATCAAACCCAGGGCCTTGAGCATGCAAGGCAAGAACTTTACCACTGAGCCACATCCCCATCCCACAGTTTGATTTGTTTTGTATGCCTTGGTTTGCAAAGTATTTGTGTGGATATATATGTGTGAGTTTTGTGTGTTCTTACAAAAACGTATATTCACACCAAACCAATAATTTACCTTTGGGGGCTTCAGCCTGGGAGATATTGCTGTATATGAGCTGTGTACAATTTTCTGATGTAACATATATGTTACTTTGTAAAAACATAGCCGGACATGTCATGCATGTCTGTAGTCCAGCTACTTGGGAGGCTGAGATAGTAGGATCATTTGAGCCCACGAATTTGAGACCAGCCTACGAACAGTGAAAACCCCACCCCACCCCCCAAAAAAATCAGTCTGAGAATGGTGGTGCATACCTATAATCCCAGCAGTTAGGCTGAGGCAGAAAGATCACTGGGAGCTCAAGGCCAGCCTGAACTGCATAGCAAAACCCTGTCTCAAAACAAGACAAAAAGAAATGATTTTACAGGGCTGGGGATGCAGCTCGTGGTAGACTGCATAAGGCCTGGCACCAGGGCCAGGGGTATAGCTCAGCGGCATAAGTTCTTGCCTGGCGGTCATGAGTTTGATTCCCGGTACCAATAAAAAAAAAAAAGCCTGGCACAAAAATAATAGTTTTACATACAAAGAAGCATACTCAGAAGTCACATAAGTGTACAGCTGAATGAATATTCACTGAATGAACATATCTGTATAGCCACCCAAAATGAAGAGACAGAACATTACCAGTTTTCTAGAAGTGGTTGGCAAATCTGCTCCTTCTGAAAAGGGCTTGACTCATTTGAAAGTCAGTTTTGTAGAAGCTCCCTTACTTTCCCAGACAGTATTTCCTCCTATCCTCAGTAACTTTATCTTATAAAATCATAGGTTTAAAAAAAAAAAATTAAAAAAAATAAAATCATAGGTTTTGCCTTTTCTTTTCAACTTTATGCAAATAGAATTGTATCTGTGCTTTTATGTCTAGCCTCTTTTACTCAGTGATAGTTTGTGAAACTTATCTGTGATACCGTGAGTACCAGTTCACTTATTTCATTGATATTTAGTGTTTGATTTCAAATATTTCTAATTTGGGGCTATTATAAGTAATATTGCTGTAAATCTTTGTAGGTTGGTAGCTATGTGTATATACATTATTTTTGTTAACTATATACACACTAGTGAAATTACTGGGTCATACAGAGTTTGCTGTCTATATAATTATCTTTGGTAAACACTGAAACCATTTTCTAAAGTAATTGCATTGATTTATGAAAATTCCCACCAGTACCATATGAAAGTTGTGATTGTTCCATATCCTTTACAAATGTTTATGTTGTCAGTCTTTAATTTTAGCTGTTTTGGAGGGTATGTAATTATGGCTTTGATTTTCATTTCCCTAGGGACAGTGATGTTGAGCATAACACATTTTTTTCTTGTTTTGATTTGAGTGGTGGGGGGGAATCAAACCCAGAGCCTTGTACATGCTAGGGAAGTTCTCTACCACTGAAGTACATCCTCAGTCCCTAGATAGATAGATAGATATAATAAAGAGAGAGAGGTTGATTGATTTTTTTTTTTTTTTTTCAGTATTAGGGATTGAACCCAGCAATTTTGCTCCTGAGGAATATCATTCCCAGTGCCTCTCACTCTGTTTTTTGAGATAAAGTTGCTAAATTGGGGGCTGGGGATTTAGCTCAGCGGCAAAAGTGCCTGCCTGGCAAGCACAAGGTCGTGAGTTCGGTTCCCGGTACCGGAGAAAAACCAAAAAAAAAAAAACCAAGTTGCTAAATTGTGGAGGTTGGGCTCAGACTTATGTTCCTCCTGCTTTAACTTCCCAGAGTGCTGGGATTATAGGTATATGCCACCATGCCTGGGCCTTGTACTGTTCATACAATCAAAAATGGTACACTGTGTATTAATTGTTGTAATTCTATTATTTTCTTATGAAATGTTGTTATATTTTTCCATAAAAAAAAAAAACACAAAAAAGAAATGGTACCTTTTTTTTGAGACAAAGTCTCACTGTGTAGTTCAGGCTAGCTTTTAACTCTATGTAACCCAAGCTGTCTTTGAGCTCACGATGACCCTCCAGCCTCAGCCTCCCAAGTGCTAGGATTACAGGTGTGTGCCACCATGCTCAGCTTGAAATGGTATCTTTTTAATATTTCATTTTCTTATTTTGTTGCTGATATAAAGAAATATAGTTAGCTAAGCACATACCTATAATACCATCTACATGGGAGACTGAGGCAGAAGGCAACTTAGAGAGACTATCCCACAATAAAAAATTTTTAAAAAGAAGGGGTAGGATAGGAATAGAGCTCTGTGCTCCCTTGTATTCAATCTCCAATATTGTGGGGGAGGAACTACAATTTTTGTGTGTGTGTTTGTTTTTCTTTTGTGTGTGTGTGTTTGTTGACCTTTTATCTATCTCTACATTGTTAGTTTACATGTACCACCTTCCCCCCGCGCACCACCCCCCCCCAGACAGAGTCTGTCTATGCAGTTCAGGCTGGCCTTGAGCTCACTTTGTAGCCCAGACTGGTCTCAAAATTTGTAAAACAATCCTCCTGCCTCAGCCTCCCGAGCGCTGGGATTACAGGTGTGTGCCATCACACCCAGCTATACCACCTTTTACCAAATAAAAACCATATACAGTTACAGAGCAACTATGTATACCTTTGTAGACGGGCTAAAAGGAAAAGGAAGGCTTCATGAAGCTCAGTGGTAGAGTGAGTGCTTAGCATTCCTGAGGTCTTGGGTTCAATCTCCAGCACCGAAAGAAAAAAGAAAAGAAAAATGGAACCCCTCTTTTTGTTCCGTACAGGCTTCCCTCCCAGTGCAGGAGTACCTGTTCATGCCATTTGACCAGGCTCACAAGCAGTATGAGACTGCCAGACATCTGCCACCTCCCCTCTACGTGCTCTTTGTGCAGGCCACCGCCTATGGGCAGGCCTGTGGTGAGTATGGGGGCCAGGGGAGGAGGAGGGCTGTAGGAGCTCCAGCAGTGTCCTGCAGAGTTATGTGGAAGCCCTGCCTGCCCAGAAGAGCTCCCTGGCCCACCCAGAAGTCCTCAGGTGATAGACACTGCCTCCCCTCTGCTTTGCCCAGCATGGCTGCTTTGATCAGCTCACCTGAGTCTAGACTAACTGATGGGCATTTCAGAATGGATGGCTTTGATGCTTTCAGGAGCCTGGCTGAATGGCTTTTGGGTGCAGTGCTCAGGTAGCCCGTCTGAGCTTGTAGGTGCTCATGCCATCAAGGCACACTTGGCAGGTGGTTTGGAGCCTCTTGTTCTGCTTTGCGTGGGAGTGGAGGGGAGCTTATTGAGCACAGGGCCCAGCCAGCTCTTCTAGGCTTTCTCTGCATCCTGAAACAGGCTGCATGTCATTATACTAAACTACCAGGTGAGAGGCTTTGTCCTCACTATACCTAAAGGCAGCCTGTGACTCTGCTAAAGTTTTGAGAAGTTTTTGCTTTTGCTCTAATGCAGCTTTCACCCAGCACCTAACATTTCCCCCTCACTGCCACCCTGCCTCCCCATTGCATCAGATAGACATGTATTACCCAGTGCATACCTTCTCTCCCAGCCACAGGCACCAACACATTGCTGTCTCTCTTCTTATGTCTTCCTGGTCCTTTTTGTCTTCTCCCTCCCCATTGTTCTCCCTCCCACGCTCATCATCAGCTCATATGAAATCTTCCTCCCAGCCCCCTAGACAGGGTGAGTAATTTTCTTTTCTTTTGTGTTTAAAATTCAGATGGTTTCCACTCTGATTTCCTTATAGAATGTAAGATTAAGGGCTGGGGATTTAGCTCAGCGGCAAAGCGCCTACCTGGCAAGCGCAAGGTCATGAGTTCGGTTCCCGGTACCGGAGAAAAACAAACAAACAAACAAACAAAAAGAATGTAAGATTAAGCAACTAAAAAAAGTCAGTCTGGGGGTTGGGAATGTAGCCCAGTTGTAGACCTTGCTGAGCATGCATGAAGTCCCAGGATCAATTTCCAGCACCGCCAGAAAGAAAGAAAAGAAAGAAAAGAAAAGAAAAGAAAAGAAAAGAAAAGAAAGAAAAAGAAAGAAAACAGAACAGTCTGGCATTTGCCAGTATTTGAAGGGGTTAACCAGCTTGTTTGGGTTAGGATGTGATGGTTTTTATGTGGTTGCCAGAAATGAGGTAGTTGACTACTTGGGGAAATCTGCCATTCCTTTTTAGTATAGCTGGACAAACTGTTGCAGTTTTCTGTGACTCTATACAGAATGGAGGAAGAGGGGCTGGGGGTATAGCATCACAAAAAAAGGAAGAGAGGGAGAGAACCTGATCTTAAAGAGTTCTAGGCCTGGGCTGGGGATGTAGCTCAGCAGCAAGCAGCACAGTGCCTGCCAGGCAAACGCAAGGTCCTGAGTTTGCTTCCCGGTACCCCGCCCCCCGCAAAAGAAAGAGTGCTAGGCCTGCAGAGTACAACAAAGGGGAGTGCTCAAGGAGACATGAGGCCAGGTATGTGGAACAGGCCATTCACTCAGTGCTTGAGAGGTCAGGCTCACATGGAACAGTCCTGATCTTCAGTCCGTGCCTATCTACTTGCTGGGTATGGTTTCTAGCTTCTCTGAGCCTTAAATATCTCATCTCTAAATGGCATAATAATAGTTTCCTATAATTCCTGTAGGGTTGTTGTGAAGATTAAAAACAAATTTTTTTTTTTACCGTTGGGGATTGAACCAAGGGCCTCACACATGCTAGGCAACTATCTACCACTGAGCTACATCTCCAACCCAAAAACTAATTTTTAAAAAAAATTTTAAAAACGATAAACAACATTTGGTCCTTACCACTCAACAAAGCATCTACTGTTTGTTAAGTCCCCATTTCATAAATGTGAAAGCAGAGACTCAGAGCAGTGACACATCATGTGACCAGGAATCAAAAGGGCAGGGACTTAAGTTTGGGATTGAACTGCAAGTTCCTGCCTGCTCTTGGCTCCTGGTTGAATGAGGTGCTTGGTATCCTACAGAACAGAGAATAAGCACTTAGAGAGCTGTTGTTCCTGGAATGTGGACAGTTCAGGCTTTTTGGTGAGACCTTTTAGGACAGTTGGCAGAGAGTTTCATGAAACTGACTTTAGGCACTGGGTTTAAAGTTCTGTGCTTTGGTATGCACCTAAAAGGAAGCATTTGCCAGTAGTCCTGGGGAACTTTGTCTAGAATCTGTACTATGGGCTCTTTGGATTCAATAAATGATGGAAAATATTGAAGTTTCCTACCTCGTACTTCTCCAAGTGGAGAAAGGGTCTTTGTCCTCCTGCCCTGAGTCAGTAGGCTACTGGGCGGAAGCAGGAGAAACACAGCTCTTGTGCTGGCTTGCATGTGTCTCTTAGCACCCTTTCCCAGCAGCTTTCCCACGGAGTTTTTTCTTGTCCCCAGATAAAACCTTGTCTGTGGCCATCGAAGGTAGTGTGGATGAAGCCAAGGCTCTGTTCAAGCCTCCCGATGACTCCCAAGGTAAAGTGGAGGTTGGGATGCCTTCCCCAGGGGACACCAAGACAATATCTAAGGGCAGTCCTTGGGATTTTGCTGGACTGGTTCTGTATAGCAGGAAGCTTGACCCTAATGTCAGTATTTGGGATAGGCAGAGAAGCACTGAGGTAGTTCCTGCAATCACAGAGTGCTGCCTTTGGATTTCAGCCCTGTCATTTACTAGCTCTCAGACTGTGGGGAAGGTCTTTAGAAATATCTCATACAGAATTAATGTGTGGATTAGGCGAGCTAATGCTTGAAAGACTCTTAGCATCATAGCAGTCCTAATTATTGTAGCTATTGTTGTTGTGGTTTATATTACTGTTATCACCCCATTGCCAACAGGGGGGCTCGTGTTTCACAGAAATGATGTTAAAAAGCCCTTTGGAAAACGGGTTGTGGGATTATAGGTCATCCTTTTTTCATTGCCATGTTTTCATAAATAAGAAGCAGCAACTTACTTATTCTAAAGCTCATATATAAAAGACGGAGCCTGGGCCTCTCAGTTCCTGTGGGTGAGGTGCTTCAGGGAGCATCAGGAGCCCTCTGACTTCTTGTTGCCTTTTCTGTGTGGCTGCAGATGATGAGAGCGACTCAGATGCTGAGGAGGAGCAGACCACGGTGAGTGTCGTTTCCCTGGCAGGGGGCGAGGAGGCCCCTCCTGCTGCACGGAAGGCTGGCTCATTTGCAGGTGCGATCCTTTCTAGAAGCAGAAAGAAGACTGCTAGGAGGACTGCTAAAGAACGGGCTGCTGGGAGGGGCAGCCTGGGCAGATAAGGCAGCAGGACCCAGGCAACAACTTTGAGGCCCGGGACTGGGAGGCAGAGGAAAGAGGGCGACTCATATAACCAGTGCTTATTGGCTTGACTCTTTACTTTGCCCAGAAGCGGCGGCGACCCACCCTGGGAGTTCAGTTGGATGACAAGCGCAAGGAGATGCTGAAGAGACACCCTCTGTCAGTCATGGTTGACCTGAAATGCAAAGGTCTGGTTGGTTGCACTGGCCTCATTCTGGGGCATCCAGCAGCATCTAGTTTGGCCAGCGATAGGTCCAGAGGGATCCTGCAAGTCAGAGCCCTCTTTGCCCCTAAAATTATTTTGATTTTCTGTTTTCGTTTTTCCTCCTTTCGGCATGGCATATTTGATTTTTTTTTTTTTTAAAGCTATAACCTTAGCAACATAGCAGCAGAACTCCAGACACATAAGGGAAGCTCAATAAAACTACACCTCTTACTGAATTTGACACATCAAATACGCAGAACAAGTTGCAAGAGTATATGCAGGTTTTCAGTAATATAACCAACATGTTTAATAAAGTATGAACTAGCTAGGAATGGCGGTGCATGCCTATAATCCCAATACTGTGGGATGCTGAGGCAGGATGATCTCATGCTTTAGCCCAGCCTGGGCAATTTAGAAACTTGGTGAGACCCAGTTATAATAAAAAAATTTTTAAAGGGCTGAGGATATAGCTCAGCAGAGAATGTTTTGAAACTGGTTTTGTGTGGAAAAGAACGTAACACATAATAAAGTATTCTGGCAGTGTAAGAGTTACTAGTTGAAATTTAAGTTTTCTTCTCACCCAGGCTCTCAGATGCCAGTCCATGATCTTATCTCCAAGGACAGCCTTTGTTACAGATGTGTATTTTCTAGAAATATTTTGTGCTTACAGAAACTTACACATGTTTATATTTATTATATGTATCTCCTTCCTCTTTGTTTTTTACACGAAGGGCAATACGCTATACACACTAGTCTGCTCTTTGTGTGTGTGTGTGAGAGAGAGAGAGAGAGAGAGATGCTGGGGACTGGACTCAGTTACACATGCTAGGCAATTGCTCTACTACTAAACTATACCCTAGCCTTCCCAGATGCTGTTTATCCCACTCCCCCTGGTGTTAGCATCTTAATTAACCACAGTGCAATGATCAGGATTTTGCTGTGCAGTTCAGGCTGGCCTTGAACTTACTTTGTAGCCCAGGCAGGCCTTGAACTTGCAACAGTCCTGGGTCAGCCTCCTGAGTGCTAGGATTACAGGTGTTTGCCACCATGCCTGGCGTAAAGCTAGTATTAATTTTATTAGGCCAATACTATTAACAAATCTATAAGATCGTTCAGAGTTTCCTCATTTTTCTGATGTCCTTTTTCTGTTTCAGGATGCAAGGCAGGCTCTCGCAGTGCCTTTATTTTAGTTGCCATGCTGCATATTGTCTTCCAGTCAATGACAGTTCCCCAACCCTGCCTTTGCATTCATGACCTTGGTTAGACAGAGTGTGGGGATCTTTGGGAAGAGTAGCACATACTGTCACATCATTTCAGGAGTATATGATGTCTCCATGTTTTTGATGGTGTTGATTTTGATTGCTGAGCTCCCTTCCCGTATTGTATTTCTGAGAAGCATACTCAGCATGTCTAGCCCATACAAGGGCATGGAAGTAAAGCTTCACCTGTTGGAGAGAAAGAGGACTAAAGAATTTGTAGACTTTGCTTTTTTCCCCTCAACATTATATTGCTGCCACGTTTTTGTTTTTATAGTAAGAGGTTATAAAAACGTCTCCAAGTTTCCTTTCTATAGTACTGCCAACTGTGCTCTATATGTTTGACTCACAGACGAGCCCTCGTTTTCTTCCTCCCCCTTTAGATGAAAGTGTGCTGCACCTGACTTTCTACTACCTCATGAACCTCAACATCCTGACTGTGAAAGCCAAAGTGACAACTGCCACGGAGCTGATCACCCCCATCAGTGCAGGGTATGGGAGAGGTTCTGCGGGGATGGGACATGCAAGGGCGGTGTGATGAGAGCCTGGGGAGCCGCCGTCCATTCCTCTCTCTGGCTGTAGGAAAGTCTGCTGCCTCACTGACTTCTGTTGTATCTGCACGGCCTAGGAGTCCTGTCACGTCACGGGAATTTAGAAAGCACTCTCGGACTTGCAAAGTCCTTTTGCTACACTGCTGATGATGAAGTGACTACAGTATGTTTGCAAATTGAGTGGGTGGGGCAGAACCACCAGCTTTTTGCAACCATTGGAGAGTGTAAATGTAAAGATGAGATTTGGCAGCCGTGACCAGCTTGACAGATTTAGAGTACTCTTTCCCTTTTTGCTTTCTATCCCAAGGTGTGGGATTTCGTTCTCCCCAGCTCAACTCAGTCCTCTGGTTTGTCCTTACCTGTGTAGTGGGAGGAGGGCTATGCGGTGTCCTGAGGAGGAGGTTTTGAGATGTGTGAACAGAGGCATAGTCACAATTGCCTCAGCGTCCCTATGAAGCCCTTGACCTTGGCAGTCTTGTGCTACAGCCAGGTGTGGGAAGGAAAGGCAACCAAGAGGGCCTGGGGACAAACTAACTTCCCCTTCTGAGACTACCTCCTCGGCTTAACACTTTTGGCCTGGCCCAGATCTAGTCACACTGTCAGCTGGAGAATGACCACTGAGGCTCAGGTTTGGCACCTGCTGAAGCAGGGCTCTTCTTTCCTTCCCATTCTGCCTGAGGCAAGGGTGTCTCCTGAGTTTTAGATCCTATACTTGGAGTCCACACCACCTTCTGCCTTAGCAGCCTGTGCCAGAGAGTGTTGTTGGACTCTCAAAAGCCACTCTGGATGGAACTGATCCAGTTCCCAGCAGAGGGAGCCCAGCGCTTGCTTCTGAGCAGAACAGAGTGAATAGATATCTAGGGCTCCCCTGGAACAGGATGAAGTTGTTTGCTTGCTTGTTTGTTTGTTTGTTTGTTTTTGAGACAAGGTCTCCCTGTGTAGTTCAGGCTGGCCTCAAAGTTACTAGGTAGCCCAGGCTGGCCTGAAACTCATAGTAATCCTCCTGCCTCAGCCTCCTGAGTGCTGGGATTACAGGTGTGTGCCATCATGCCCTGCAGGATGAAGCTTCTTGTGCGCATCTGCTTGCTTGTCTCTGAAAGCTGAACATGCTAACAACAGGGCTACCAACTGACTATATTACATGCTGTACTCCAGCTTCTCACCGAGCTATATGCTGCTGTAGGTCTCAAAATTTGTTTCCTTGCTTTATAGTCATTGTAATATCCTTCCTAAAGGTGCTTGTGAAGAGGTAGATTATATGCTTAGCATGGAGGAGGAACTTGGTAAATGATAGCTTTTGTTGTTGGTGCTGGGTCCTGAGTGCAGGGCGTCATGAGTGGTAGCCTTAAGCTGTACCACTAAGCTACATCCCCAATGCTATTAAATTAGTTTTAGTCATTTTCACTTTTACTTTTCTTTGGTTTTTCTAAAATTTAATCTCTTTCTTGCCATGAAAATTTTGTAACAAGGTTGGGGATATAAGCCGGGCGTGGTGGCGTATGCCTGTAATCCCAGCACTCGGGAGGCTGAGGCAGGAGGATCATTGGGTGTTCAAGAACAGTCTGGGCTACAAAGTGAACTCAAGGCCAGCCTGAACTGCATATCAAACTGTATATCAAAAAGACAAAAAAAAAAAGAAAAAATGTTGGGGATATAGCTCAGTGCTACAAGTGCTTGCCTGGCAAGGGCAAGGTCCCAAGTTCAATTCCCGGTACCAAAAAAAAATTTTTTGTAACAAATATTTGAATTTGAATTGTGCCTTGTTTTGGTGTTACATTTTTATGATTATAGCTGCCCCTTTTGTGTGTGTAGTTCTTTTTTCCTTTTTTAATTTCTGGGGTTTCAACCAGGGCCTTGATCATGGTAAGCAAGCTGAGCTACATCCTCAGACATTTTTAATTTTACTTAACCAAGGTCTCACAGAGTTGTCCAGGCTGGCCGCAAACTTGCTGTCTGCTTGCCTCAGCCTCCTGAGTAGCTGGAGTTATAAGCATGTTCTATCGCACCCAGCTTCATTTTTTTTTTTTTCCCAGTGTTAGGGACAGAATTTAGGGGCTTGCTTACCAGTGAGCCTTACTTTAGCCCCAGATTTAAATTTTTATCAAGAAGGTTTGAGTCTTCCATCAAGTTCTGTTGATTAAAAACCCTTGTCATGTGTATGTAGTTTTTGCTGTTCTGTTTTATTTTGATTGATAGTTAATAAACACCGACTAAAAGATTGAAAAACTTTATTTTCTCCATGTGAGACAACAAAGGGGACAATAATCTATTAGAGACAGGGAGACTGAGACAAAGAACAGAAAGAGCTAGAAACTGCCATTGTCTACTGTTTAGTTTTTGCAGGCATGCTGGGGTAAAGTGTCCCTGTGACTCAGAGCAGCAGGGCGAGTGTGTCTTGCTTGAGTTGCTTCTGATGCTATCCTTAGAAAGATGAAGGAGAACCCCCTGTTGGTTCAGAAAAAAAGGGACATGTCATCCTTTGTGATAAAATTACTACATTATCCTCCACACCATCTCTTCTCTGCTTGTCACATTTAATTACAGACTGTGCCCTAATCATCCCATGTGGGTGGCAGTAGCATCACTTTCTCTGCTTATAGCACTGGGTCACCTTGTCTCCAGTGCATGTGATAGTATCTTTTTCTGAGCATATAAGGGAGGCTTTTTTCTGTGATTATCGTGAGACTTGATCAAAGAGAGGTAGAGCTCCAAAGCTGTGCACTTGTTCTTTCTGGGAAAAGGAGTTTGTTCTGCTTCTATGAAAATCATAATTATTTCTAGTATTATAATAGAAATCATTTCATTTTACTATAAATTTTTGTTGGGAGGAGGGAGGATTAAAACAAATTGGATAACAGGAACCAAAATACACAGGAGTAAGTTCTGATAGTCTACAGCATAGTAGGATGACAGCTTATTATATTTTATTATATTTTATGAGGAGGCCAGGCATGGTGGCGCATGCCTGTAATCCCAGCACTTAGGAGGCTGAGGCAGAAGGATCGTTACGAGTTCGAGACCAGCCTGGGCTACAAAGTGAGCTCAAGGCCAGCCTGAACTGCAGAGTGAGACCCTGTCTCAAAAAGGCAAAAAAAAAAAAAATGCTAAGGCAGGAGGATTGCTGAGAGTTTGAGGCCAGCCTGAACTGCATAGTGAAATTCTGTCTCAAAAATTCTGTCTCAAAAAGACTATATTTTATGAGGAACTAGAAAAAGCTGGGCATGGTGGCACATGCCTATAATCCCAACACTCTGGGAGGCTGAGGCAGAAAGATTGCAAGTTCAACCCCAGGCTGGGCAATTTAGCAACTTAACAAAACCCTGTCTCAAAATAGACAGTTAAAAAAGGCTAGAGATACAGCTCGGTGCAAAGACTCTGGGCTCAATCCCAAGAACTGAAGTCAGGCTAACACTAAGCTTAACCCCCCCACCCAAAATGTGGTTAAAAATACTACTCTTGGCTGGGCGTGGTGGCACACACCTATAATCCCAGCACTTAGGAGGGTAAAGCAGGAGGATCACCATGAGTTCGGGGCCAGCCTGAACTACATAGCATGAACGTGTCTCAAAAAATTAAAATAAATGCTACTCTCTTTTAATCAGTGCATACCCTGGCTCTGGCATTTAATAATAGCATGAATTTGGACAAGGTGTATCTTTCAAAGCCTTGAGTTTCTCCCTTGGAAAATGAAAATGATAATTCTCCCTATCTTGTATGGTTGTGAGTCCACTGATCTCAGACCCATAAAGAGCCCAGCCCACAGGAAGCATTCAATAAAGTATGGCCTCACGCATCAATGAACAGAGGAACTACCACCTTCAGGTGCCCAGGCCTACCTTGAGGCAAGATACTGACCAGAATTTTCACTGTAGTCTCTTTTCCTGTTTACAGGGACTTGCTGTCTCCTGACTCAGTGTTGAGTTGTTTGTATCCTGGTGATCATGGAAAGAAAACTCCAAATCCAGCCAATCAGTATCAGTTTGATAAAGTTGGGTAAGTCAGCAGTGTTTGCTCCTCTCCTGGCCTCTCTGCTTCTGAATGTCTCTTGTCTGTGGCTCAAGTCCAAGCCAAAGACCTGGTGGGGCCAGAGGACAGGGAGGACACAGGGCTGGGGTGCACATTTGTTTGCTTACAAGGTAAAGGGATGCCATAAAAAGGTGGAAAAGAATTGGAGAAGGGTTGGGGAACATAAATACAAACCGTAAGAGCTGAGAGGTGTAACTTAGCACATCAGTGGCATACATCAGGTTCTGGGTTTCATCCCCAGCATCGGGGGAAAAAAGAAGTGATATAAAAATGTATAACATTTTAAGTTTCTGAGGGTTAAAATTTTTTTAAGCATTTTATATATGGGTTGACTAATGCAGAAATCAGTATACTGCCTTTTCATTTGAGGTTTTTTTGTGTTGTTTTTTTTTTTTTGTTTTTTGAGTTAAAAGGCCGCAAAGGAAAGTAGGTATCTGCTCCAGAAAGCTGATAAAATTAAGCACCTTTTGGAGGTTGCTTGACTATGATCTCAGGGAGGCCCAAGGGTCTGGCCTATATGCAAGACAGTGGAGGATAGGACTGTATCTGCAGACTACAACAGAATTGTTGTGGGTTTTTTTGTGTTTTTGAGACAGGGTTTCACTAGGCAGTTCAGGCTGGCCTTGATCTTGCAGCCTGCCTCCGCCTCCCAGGTGTTGGGATTATAGGCGTGTGCACAAATAATTTATGGAATGATTTTGTTGTCTTTTTCTGCAGCATTTTGACTTTGAGAGACTATGTACTTGACCTAGGTCATCCCTATTTGTGGGTACAGAAGCTGGGAGGCCTCCACTTCCCCAAAGAGCAACCCCAGGTAGGTACCTTGGCCCTGTCCCCCTGGCTGAGGACTTCCCTGCCTAGCCACAGTTCTTTGGGAGCCCAGCAGCTGGTGGTGGTCTTGCCAAGACTCAGCGCCTGGCCTGTCACAGTGGGTACACCCTGCCATTGCTATAGGCACCCACCCTGAGGTGTGGGTGGTCCAGGCCGGGAGAGATATGGTACCTGGCGGAAGGGAAGGGAAGTTTTCAGATGTGTACCTCTCACTGTCATTCACAGCACACGGTGATTGCCGACCACTCCCTGAGCGCCAGCCACATGGAAACAACCATGAAGCTACTGAAGACCAGGGTGCAGTCCCGACTGGCTCTCCACAAACAGTTTGCGTCCCTGGGTAAGCTAATATTGCTGCTGGGCCTTAATAGCCACTTAATAACATAGGGACAAAAACAACACCCTTACACTCAAAACTCTCAGTTCCAAGGACTAATAAAGGAGACCTGGATTCTGCCTTTATGAGTAGGGGCATTAGACAAGTTCACAGACTAATCAGAGCAGCTCATCGTAGGTCTGTAAGTTACAGACATTGACAAGACATGTGCCGGGTGGGGGTGGGGGTGGGAGAGGTCAAATCTTTCTGATCTAAAAGAGTCAACTGAGGAAAGGCATTAGGTTTCTAGGACCCATCTATAGCCCCCCCACCCCAATCCCCAATCCCCAAATAAGTTTTCAGGTTCTGCATGGATGTTGTCTCTCTAGGGCAGCATTCATTGCCCGTCCCGTCCTTCCTTTGGGCCTTGTTCCGCATCAGCACTGCTGAGTGTGTGTGGTCCCAAGGTTGGGAGATTGTCATCGGGGACAGTCATTACTGTGTTGACATATTTGTATATTGTAACACCAGCAGGAATTTACCCTGGAGTAGTTCTCTGGCTCTGTCCCTTTGAGGAAATGACACAGAACACTTCAGTCATTTCCTCCGTCAAGGTCAGCTCTGAAAACACAGCCCTTTGGGCTATATGGTTCAATTCACAGTCACTGCTGCAGAGGCACCAACACTGATTTTGGCTGCAGGGCTTTTTGTTTTGCTGGCCACCACTTATATTAAAAGTAAAGCACATTGTTCATGCTGGGTTCTGGTTACCAGCACATAGTTCTGGATGAAGGTCAGGTTGGTGTGCCTGTATTCCTGGCATGTGTTGCCCTTGGTACCTCTTGAGTGCCAGGTGTAGCTGGACAGATGGCAGGCCCACCTTTGCCCTACATAGAGCCCAGACAGATGCTAGTTACCCAGCTGTGGTACTTAATTACTACTTGTGACACCACCTGTCTTGCTTCACTTTAGAACACGGCATTGTGCCAGTTACCAGTGATTGCCAGTACCTCTTCCCTGCCAAGGTTGTCTCTCGCCTGGTGAAGTGGGTGACAGTTGCCCATGAAGATTATATGGTAAGTGGAAAGCACTGATGGTTCAGTCTTGCTATCCTGAGGACTATATGATCATACCACCTTTTAGTTCTTTACCCCCACCAGAAGGGCAGGGGATTGACTGAGAGGCCAGCAGCTTACTCAGCGTCTGTGATGCCTGTTGTAGGAATTGCATTTCACCAAGGACATTGTGGAGGCGGGACTGGCTGGGGACACCAATCTCTACTACATGGCGCTCATTGAAAGGGGCACAGGTAGGTAGTTGCTGTCCTGATGACAGTGGTTTTAGTCCAGAGGAGCTGCTGAGACTCAAACATATCTGAGGCTTGGCCAAGGGAAGCAAAAGATCTTGGAATCCTGCCACAGGGACTTAGCTCATAGTGGTGATTTTGAGAGCCACTGTTCTGTGGAAGACTAGTTCTGCAGCACAGGCACATCCATGCTTTATGACATTTAGTTGTTACAGCAGTCTCCAGAGTGGTAATTTTATTCCTGTTTTATAGTTAACATTACAAACCCAGGCTGACCTCTGAGCCTGAGCTCTCTGCCTTTCACCTTACTGCTCTGTAGCATCACACCTCCCTTTGTGCCCGCATCACCAATGGGCAGAGGTGTCACTCTCGGGTTGTAATGGGCAGGGTCGCAGGACCTCTCTCCCTTTTCTGTGGTCCTTGTACTCTCTTTAGAGGCGTTGGGGCATTGGGAACTGTGATTCCTCCTGCTTTTGGCATCTGACTGTGCCAGGGCTTCCTACTGGAGCTACGCAGATGCTATGCCTGGGTTGTTGTGCAGTTGTCTCACTCCAGTGCAGTAGGCCTGGCACTGCCCACACAATATCACTCCCGAGGCTCACTGCTGTAGATGGGCAAGCAGAGGAAGTTGTCTGTAGTTCTGTGTTACTTTATTTTTAGGTGCTATAACAACATTCCTGAGGCTAGGTACTTTATAAAGTAAAGAAAAGTTTATTTACCGTACATTTTTGGAGGCTGGAAGTTCATTATCAGGTGGTCCCATCTGTTTGGTCTCTGGTGAGGGCTTCATAGTGAATGGTATCACAATTGTAGGATCATGTGTGGAAGAGAACGCATGGTGAGACAGGAAGCCAGAGAGGAATCAGGAATCAGGCTTGATCATTTTTTGGAGGGGCACAATACTGGGGATTGAACCCAGGACCTTCACACTGAGCTATATCCTCATCCCTTTTTTATTACTTTTTTTTTGAGACAAGGTCTTGCTGAGTTACTTGGGATAACACCATCCTCCTGCCTCAGTTGCCCATAATGCCACTACACCTGGCTATGGCTTGATCTTTTTATAACAACTTTCTGTCTGGGGCTAGTCAGAGTCCTAGAAATCCACATTAATCCCTTCAGAGAACAGCATCCCCTTCCCAAGACCTAACTCCCTCCCGCTAGGCCTTACCTCTCAAAGGTTCTGCTGCTTCTCAGTACCACCACACCAGGGGCCAGCTTTCTAGCACATGGACCTGTGGGGGACACACCATATCCAAACCATCACAGGTTCTAAGATACTGCCTGTTGATGGAGAGGATAGATGTCATCCGGGTGATAAAAACAAAAGCTATCACCAGAGGAAAAATAAAGATAGTGATAAATAATGCAGGTATTTCTTTTAAAGATTATGAACATAGCTCTGACATCAAGCAGTTCCAGTTAACCTCAGCCTTGCTGCTTTGCGGCTGTTAAATGATGCAGAAGTTTTGGCAGAGGCTGTCTCCCCATCTATAAATGGCTATAAGGAGAATTATGGCTGTCGCATAGAATCATTGTTAGGATGAAATAAAACATGCTTAAGGGATTGAGCACAGAACCTGAAGTATAGTGAGGAATCAATAAATGTTGACCATTAAGAATTTCAAGCCAAGCAGGGAGGTACATACCTGTCATTCCAGCTACTTGAAAGGCTGAGGCAGGAGGATTGCGAGTTCAAAGTCAGCCCAAGCAACTTAGCAAGACCATATCTGAAAAAGGACTGTAGCTCAATGGAAGAGCACCCCTATATTCAATCTCCAGCACCAAAGAAAAAAGAACCCCCCCAACAAGAACCCAACCAGAATTTCACATAATAAAATATATAAAAGAGATTAGAGAATATATATTTGATGTAACTGCTGATACAATAATTACAGCAACACTATTTCAAAAGAAAAACAGTAAGCTTTCACATGGAAAATTTCTTAACCTCCTGGCAAATAAGGAAATGGCAATTAAAGCAGCAAATTAATCTTGGGGACAAGCCCAAAGTGGACCAGATGCCAAGAAGCCCATGCCTTTGTGGCATGGTCTCTCCTTGGAGAGACCAGAGTTACCAGGCCTCACATTCTGCAACCTGGCCATTCCATTTAGGAGATTGTGGAACCATTCGTACCACAGTGTACTCTGCAGCACTGGGGTTAGGAGACATCTGAGCTGGCCTCAGATCCAGTGGGGAGGGTGCCATGCTGGCAGGATGGGCTGATTTTTTTCCCCTCCTCTTCCCAGCCAAACTCCAGGCTGCTGTAGTATTGAACCCTGGCTACTCCTCCATCCCACCCATTTTCCAGCTCTGTCTGAACTGGAAAGGAGAGAAAACCAACAGCAACGATGACAACATTCGGGTAAGGCCCACAGAGGGGCAACGGGAGAAACAGAGAGAGCCCTCTGGAGAGATGGGTTGTGGCAGAACCTGCATCAGTTCCTGGGACAAGGGCCGGTCAGATTTGGAGAATATGCTGGGCCCTATGTGGTATAGCAGAAGAAAGGGCCTAGACCAGTGATGTAAACCTCTTAGTGACCAAGTGTCCAAGCTGCAACCCAAAATCCAGTTATCACAAAATGCCAGCACTGCAGTTAAACTTGACTACTGAGGGATTGAGGGATTTTTTTGTTTGTTTTGTTTTGTTTTGTCTTTTTGAGACAGGGTTTCACTATGCAGTTCAGGCTGGCCTTGAACTCACTTTGTAGCCTAGGTTGGCCTTACACTCACAGTGATCCTCCTGCCTCAGCCTCCCAGTGCCGAGATTATAGGCATGTGCCACCATGAATACTGTGGCTTTAGCTTAGAAATAAAATAATGCGGTCATGCTGGGGTGAGTTGGCTCACATGCTAACAGAGAGGGGCCTGCAGTGTGTGTGACAGGTTCACCACCAGTGGCATAGACCCATCTCACCCCCTTACCTACCTTGGGTCCCCTGGGTTTCCCCATTTATAAAATAGTTGCCTTGAAAGGCCCTCTTGGGCTTCTTTGAAGATACGAAAAAACTCAAAAACATTCTAGAAAGTGGAATGAGATGACAGTGAATTGGATGGCTGCAGCTGTTACTGATGGTCATGCTTGTTGGTGTGGATTGGTAGCACCCTTCTGGCTTTAGACCATTTTTAACCCTAGCACCTTCAGACTTGGGTCTTGAGAGTCTTTCTCTACACGCTTATCTCTGGTTGTGGGTATTTGAAGCAAGGAAGGTAATGGATCAAAATCAGGAGGACTCTAATGTGTTGAAGGGTGGGGGCCCCAGGTCAGTACAATACAGCTCCAGCACAGGCCCAGCTACAGTAGTGGTACCAGCCACAGTTCTCGTGGTGCTCTCAGATACATCTGGGGACATAAGCCTGGCCCGTATGGTCAGAAGGGAGAGCTGAGGCGCTGGCTTTCCCACCTGTGCAGGCCATGGAGAGCGAGGTCAATGTGTGCTACAAAGAGCTCTGCGGCCCTCGGCCCGGTCACCAGCTCTTGACCAACCAGCTGCAGCGGCTGTGCGTGCTCCTGGACGTCTACCTGGAGACCGAGAGCCACGACGACAGTGTGGAGGGACCCAAGGAGTTTCCCCAGGAGAAGATGTGTCTGCGGCTTTTCAGGTAAGGGGAGGGATGGGGCTCTGGTGACTTGTGGGGACCTCAGGCAGAGATCAGAGCCCTGCAGGTATTAGGTCTCAGTGTGCAGGGCCAGGTGAGGAGAGCATGTGCTCTTGCATGCAGGTATTCTTGTCTCTGTTCACAACAGAAATTTAAATCCTGCTGCTGGATTTCCTGGAGGAGCTCGGTCCCTCCTTCTGGAAGCTTCTTCTGCAGCTTTATTTCAGTCCTTCACCAACACTCCCTGGAAGGCGCCACCCAACCAAGTCAGCAGTGCCAGGCAATGAACTAAAGAGGATTTGGCTGAACTCTCAGGAGTTTCTGTGGAAAACAATAGAGTTTGTTTGCTTTTAATCACCAAATAAGGGTTTTTTGTTTTTTGTGAGTTTTTTTTGTCTTTTTTGAGATAGGGTCTCTATGCAGATCAGGTTGGCTTTGAGCTCACTTTGTGGCCCAGGCTCGTATCTAACTCGCAACAATCCTGCTGCCTCAGCCTCCTGATGCTGAGATTATAGGGTTGCGCCACCACACACAGCTCAAATAAGGGCTTCCCCACAGTCCCCAGGAGTCACTGTAGTCTCTAGCAGGTGAGACCCTCAGCTCCGGGCAGTCAGGCATCACAGAAGGAAGAGCTCCCAAGGAAGAAGTGAGTGCAGTGACCACAGAAGAGTCACTTCTGCTAGGTGGTGGAAGAGGTACCTCCTAGCTCGTGATGAGTCAGATACTCATGTAAAGTGTGCTGCAAACACAAGAGTAGGCCACTAGGACCCGATGACTTGGTGTTTAGAGTGCCTGGGCTCACGGCATCTTTGGCTACTTTTCCTTTCTCTTTGGTATTGGGTCGTTCCTTTCCCTCTTATCCCCTAACTCATGTGCTTGTTTTTGCAAAACTGCAGAGTCCCCTACTCTGGGCAAGGAGTTGGGCAGGAGCAGTTTGGACCATGGTCTTTCTAATGAGGATGTCCCCTTGTCCCCGTCAGTCTGAGTGGTGCCTTATCTTCCCCTCTCTTTGTTCTCAGCCAGTCCCAGCACTTTTTTTTTTTAGTCCCAGCATTCTTCCCCTAACTTGGCACCTCCCCTTGTCTGGTGCATTGTGTTGTCTGATAATAAACAACTCCACTCCCTGAGGCTGCAGGGGGGCAGAGCTGCTGGCTGGACATTGGTGCCTTCTAGGACTTGTGCTCCCTGTTGGGTTTGTGTGAGATCTCACCTTGTCCATGACACCCTCCCAGCCCACTGTAGCACATTTCCAGGGTGGGAACTCCCCTACTGCCTGTGCTTAATTCCTCTTCTTGAGTGCTTCCCAAAGAACCTGTTTCCTGAAGTGGCAGCTCCTCTGTCAGTACTCAGGGAAGGTGGTCTTCTGATAATTCAGATCCAGGTAACTGCGTGACTGCTGGAATGGAGGAGTTGTGAAGCTCTTGGCCTGGGGTCCACCTCACCGCTTGGGATTGGGATTGGGCCTGAGGGCCAGGCTGTAGAGTGCTGATGTGGGCAGCCAGAGAGCCCTGGCTGGCAACTGTCAGACTGAGGCTTTTCCATCAGTACTGTGCCTAGATGGTCCCCTTGGTGACAGTGTCCTTCTGGTGTTAGGTGGCATGTGACATCATGGATTTGAGCCAGACCTTTGGGGCCAGAAAGAGGCCCCAAGAGGTTCCAGCTCCTGTCTGTGATGAGTCTAGCTCCTCTGAGCTTGTTTCTCATCTGTAAAAGAGCACCTACCTCACGTCATTGGGAAGATGACGGTCAGTGAGCTGGAGTGTAGAAAGTGCCAAGCAGCATAGTGCTTACTCAGCCCCTGGTGGTGGAATAAAAACCTTTCTCCCCTCTTTATGATCCCTGTCTCGCTCACACATACTCATACATATACACAAACATGCTCATAAACATGCACAAACGCATGTATGCGTGCATACGTATGCACAGTGTCCCTTAAAACCAAGACCCAGGGCATCACTTTCTGGTTACCATTGAATGTCAGTTAGACAGTCGTGGGTAGCATCCCTTCCCTACAGAGTGGTATGGAAGAGGCGTGTGAAATTTGCTTGGGAACCCAGAATACAGCTATAGCACCCAAGCTTCACAGTATCAAGAGTCTGGACGCAGGCCTGACCCTTCCCAACCAGGACTGTCAGCCTTCCTGTGGCAAACAGGCTTGGACATCAGACCCGTTTCTGGATTTTGGCTCTTCCTGGCCACATGGTGTTGGGCAGACATTGCACCTCCCTGAGCCTGTGTGTTCATCTTTACAATCTATAAAATGGTAGAAATGGCACTTACAAGGTAGTAAGTATAAGCTCACAGCTCCTGACAGACAGTGCAGATTCTTTTCAATCTCAGGCTCCTGCCGGCAAGAGGGGTTTTTAAATTTCTCCTTTTACTGTTTTTTAAATTATAGAAATAAAGCATATTTGCAGTTAAGGATATAAACAGCAGTAATCTAAGATCTGGGGGGTTCCCAAACCCTATCCCAAAGTATCCACTGTCAGGACCCTGCCAGGTCTGTGTTCACACATCTGCAAGCACATAGTGACATTTTTACAAAAATCATGTCACACCTTACTCTGCTGTGGTCTGCTTTTCTCACAGTGTCCTGTGTCATCTAACTTTGCTTTTTTTTTTATTTTCCCTTAACAGCTGTGTGGCATTCCTTGTGTGAATGAGCTGTAATTTTATCAGGTTAGAAGGCACGATATTAACTGCTGTACCTTCTGTTTCTCTAGGGGTCCAAGTAGGATGAAGCCATTTAAATATAACCATCCTCAGGGATTCTTCAGCCATCGCTGACCTCCCACTCGTCCAGTTGCTTCCCCCAAGATCCTGCCTCAAATGTCACCTCAAGTACTGGGCTTCTGCTTTCTTCTTTGTTCACATATGGCTCTTTATAGTCTCCACAGACAGTATCCAATAAAAGTGTCACCTGACCAAATGCCCGTTTTCTGTGGCTTCTTGGGGAGGTAGCTTTGCACTTTCAAAGAGCAGGTGGGAGCCACCTCCCAGTGTGAAGAAACATTTATGGACAGGCTTTGTAAAGTGACTAAGAAAGCAGAGTGCAGAGAAAACAGGACTCTGCAGAGAGATGCCGCTCTCTTGACTACATACACATTACTTGTTTTTGTCTTTTTGAGGCACGGTCTCACTGTGCAATTCAGGCTGGCCTTGAGCTCACTTTGTAGCCCAGGCTGGTCCCGAACTCACAACAATCCTCCCACGTTAGCCTCTCGAGTGCTGGGAGTGCTGGGATTACAGGCGTGCACCACCATGCCCGGCTATTACTTGGTTTTGTTTGGGGAAAGGAGGTAGTCCTTATTCTCTTGGTATGTATTATCCTAGGTCTCTGCCATTAAGTTGCAGGAGAAGCCAAAGTCAGCAGTCAAAAACTTTCCCCTTCTCTACCCTTTCTACTAATCCTGTCACTGCTCCTGATGACCAGGTTCTTTTTGATCATTGGATGTTTTAAACATCTGAAAGTACACTGTAAACAACAGACAAATACATGCCAGAGAGTAATTCTGAATCTTGCAGGAATTCCAGTCAATGAGAATGACGTTGGAGAATCACGTGCAGGCCAACCAGCCACTGAATAATACCCAGACCACAGCCTAAGAGTCAGCCCAAGTGACATGTGAGGAGAATCTTCATGGTGATGCCATGATAAGTGCCTCAAAAAATCATACTGTGACTATTAAAGGCCTAAGAGAAGAGAATTCAAAACCCAGGAAAATGTTTGCAAAATTACCTCCTTTGTAGTACTGCAAAAACCAGAGTGAAAGATGACATAGATTATTCTTAGACAGTTGTTAGAAAAATTATATTCCACTGCCATCCCTAAAAAAATCAATTCTCTCTCATATATATATATATTTTGAGGGGGCAGGATCTCACTAAATTGCCTTGAACTTGGGATCCTTCTGCCTTAGTGTCTCAAGTAGCTGGGATTACAGCCATGTGCCACCATGCCTGGCTTCTCTATTCGTTTTATAAAATAAGATACAGGGCTGGGGGTATAGCTCAGTGGTCGTGTATGTGGTTAGTATGCATGAGGCCCTAGATTCAATGCCCAGCACCACACACAGAAAAGAGACAAATATTTAAGAATTATTATATAACTGAAGATATAATCTACTTTGCTAACTCCAAAGCAAGATAGTCTCAAACTTCCCACCGCAGCAGTGTAGTTCAGTCTCTGTTGTAAGCATATTTGTTCATAGTGGACTTTTGCTGATTATCCTTGGGTAATACAGACCTCTGGTATAAGAGTCATTTCTCCTACCCTCTCAGCTGATCACTGAGCATCCCAGGGGTAAGGATTATATGAAAGACAGCTAGGAGATAGCCCTGCCAGGTCCCCTCATTTCACGGCTACAGGCCAGAGCCCCAGAGGAGAATGGTAAGTTAGGTGCTGCTGAATGACCACTTGAGCCGTTCGTTCACCTTAGATGCATCATTTCTTTGAATACAAGAGTTAGGAATCCTCCAGCCCAGAGGTCTTTGAGCCGCATATGAGTCACCCGTCCTGGGAGCTGATCAGAGATGCACATTTCTGAGCCCACTCCAAATATTTTGACTCAGTTGACCTGAGATGGGCCAAGGAAATGTATTTTTAACAAGCTCCCCAGGTGCAGTTTGCCCTAGTCTCTTTTTGGAAGGCACTGTATTCCCTTCCAGATTGTGTGAACAGCTCCCCCTCTCTTCCCTTCTGCAACCCAAGCCTCTGGGTGCTTCTCTCCACGTAGCAAGGTATCCTTGTCTTTTTCCTGACCTACTTGCCTGGGACTTTGTCCCTGCTAGCATTCCCTTGGTCTGGCCACCTTCAGGCCTATATCTCACTCCCTGTGCTGAATCAGATTAAAATAGGACCTAAAAATAGCTCCTCTAATGGCCCCTGCATTGCAGCCTCCACTTTTGTTCTTGGCTGGAAGGTGGCCAGACTGACTCAGCACAAAAGCTCATCTCCAGAAGGAAGTGAGGACTCAGCTTGTGATGGCTGGAATGGGGCTCTACTTCCTAGCGGGGATGTTGTAGCCCATCATCTGCCATAGAGGTTTTCTCTTTTCAAAGTAGTAGGCTGAACAAAGGAATCTCCTAACCTTTAAGGAGAGAGCTCTTAAAGCAGATGAGAACCCCAGGACATCCAGCCACTTTTAAGCTACTTAGGCTGTTTGTGCTGAAGGTGGGCAGACTGGGGGCAGATGCCTGGCTTGGAGGACCTAGACGCTTCTTCCTCACCTGGAATTGTCCGTGGCCTTCCTGCAGTTTCCGTTCTGGGCACACTGCAACACCTCTCTGACATACGCACCACCACTCGCCACATCTGGAACTCAGCCACCCCACCCACCCCTGCCTGCATCCCCTCTACTGGGAATTGGACCTACTGGAGATTGCATTCAGGGCCTCGCTCATGCCAGGCAAGCACTCTACCACTGAGCTCCACCCCTGTCTCATCCTTGCTTTTCGTTCCCTCAGTACTGGGGATTGAACCCAGGGTCTTCACACTGAGCTGCATTCGCAGCCTTTTGATTGATTGATTGATTGATTGATTGATGATCAAGACAGTTTCACTACGTGGCTAATCTCTCCACGCTGGGCTCAAACTGAAAATCCTCCTGCCTCACCCCCAGAGTGCTAGGATTATAGGTATGTGCCACCCCACCCAGCTCATCCTTGCCTTTTTCAAACTGCCCTCTGTATTTCCGGTTTCTTGATATGTTCTGTTTTTGTTTTTGTTTTCGGTACTCGTGATTGAACCTGTGCTTAGGCAAGCACTTTACCACTCCCCTATATGCCCAGCCCTTTTTGTTTTTTATTTTGAGATAAGGTCTTGCTTAATTTCCCAGGCTGACTTTGAATTTATAATTCTCCTGCCTCAATCTCCAGAGTAGCTGGAATTATAGGCATGCACTATGTGGCAGGCCTCCTTATTTTCTTCCCAGCTTGTCCTTTCCTGTTTTCTCTACAAATCCAAAAGACTTTATTTCAGGAATGTTCTTGCTGATCACTCTAGTGAAACAAAGCTAAGAAAAACCATCTGTGGCAGGAGCAGAGCTTCCAAACTCCCAAAGGAACTCTGTCCCTGCCAGTATAGCCCCAACTCTGCCCTTTCCCTGTGTGTGACAGCCTCTCCAGTAGGAACAGCCATTAGCCATTTACTTTGGGTCATGTCCTGAGCTAATCATTATTCTACACTCACTGTGCCACTTAACTATATCAGGCTACCAAGTACCCACATTCCTTTAGTTCTTACAGAGGAGGAAACTGAGGCTCAGGATTAAATGACTTGTCCCTGTTCATGCGTCTCCTGAACGGCTCACTCAGGGTTTGAGCTCAGCACAGGTCTGTTTGCTTCTAAAGCCACAGTAGCTTCAGGCTTAGTACCCAGACAGGCTGGCTGTCTTGCTGGTCAGTTTATTTCAGCAGCGTGACATTCATTTCAGTACACCCACCATAGTATGGTGGGCAGGAGTCATAGCTTGGTGTCTAGACAGACCCATCTGGGTCCTGATTCTACCTTGAGCAGCTGCATGACCCCGGACAGGTTGCTTGACTCAGTCTAAGCTTTGGGGGTCCTCATCTTGAACTGGGGTGGCCATGGAATATACAAGGTGGTTATGGGGATTAAGTATCATCTCTCTTAGTACCATACCCAGCATCTAGTACTGCTCAGCAAACTCCTGCCCTGACCTCCAAGTTTCCACCTAGAGAAGGGGTCTCTTGGAGGAAGAGGGCTTGTCCTGCTGGGTCCACTATTCCTCTGCCTAGACTTCCCAGGCTCTAGAAGTCTAGTTCTCTGACCTGGTTCCTCCTTGCCCTAAGTTCAACCCCTGCGCCACACACATATACACAAAACAAAACAGAAGAGAGGTCTAAATGATGGCTTTAGACTTTCTACTTTTGCTGTCAATTATATTTTTATGCTAAAGCAACTTGGCCATGAGCACTATTTTTCATCCCTTCGTTGTGGACTTTTGGATTAGACTAATCCATTTGCAAGACTGCACTGCTTTGTACCCCACCGAAATCCTCAGAGGCTAATGGTTTTAGGGGGCACTCCACAACCTCTTTTCTCTCATAGAAGTAAGGGCCAACTTGCCACGGCTGTGCCATTTGGGTTCCTTGAGAGTTTGGCGGTGTTTCCTCCACCGAAGCCCCCATGGATGGCATGATCTGGTGTGTGCCTGAAAGTGGAGCTCACAGCCACGCCAGTTGCAGTAGTTGCCACCTGAGCCATCACGCCTGGCTGCCGGAGCGCAGCAGCAGGCCCTGAGCTGCTGGTGCTGGCCTCCGTGCAACTCATCTGAGGTGCTCCAGGGCTGGGGAGGCCGCAGGACGGATGGCTCTGGCTTCCACATAACATCCCAAGTGCACAGCTGCATCTAGAAGTGCAAACCTCTATGAAGAGCCTGGTAGCTTCTGCAAAGAAGCTAGAACCAACTTTTAGTTTAATTATTGTTTCTATCATTTTCTACTTGTTAATTTCCATCCTATAGCCAGCCCTTCTCAGTTCTTGACAAGGTCTAGGAAGTTTATATTTGTAACCCCATGTTTTGTTTTGTTTTGTTTTGTTGTGCTACCGGGAATTGAACTCACAACCTCGCACTTGCCAGGCAGGTGCTGTACCGCTGAACTATATCCCTGGCCCTGTAATCCCATGGAGAAGTTATTGGAATTCTAGAGTTAATTCCAATCTACTACTTCCAGTGCAGCCCATGGCAAGAATAAAGATATTAAGGCATACTTGTAGTTGTGGGGAGCCAAGGGGTCCTAAGTCCAACTAGGATAATGGCTAACTGGAACAAAGGCCTGACCCGGGGCCGAATCCAGGTTTTAATTCATGAAGAAGAGGGTGGCTTGAGGATGAGTGACTGTGAGAATGGCGGGAAGTAGGCGAGTGCTGTGAGCTGGGCTGGGTAGGAGGCCTCAAATCCCCTC